ATTTAAACAACATGTTTATTTTGGTACCAACCTGGACCACGAATAGCCAAAATTTTCTATTGAACTATTGAAATGCCCTGGGATAAAAATAACAATTTTATCTCTAAAAATTCTCCCACCAAAAATGCTGATAAACAATCAATAAATGAACAATTACCCACCCCCCCAAAAAAACCCACATTATTTAAAAAGATTGGGAAAAAAAAATTACCTTTGGAGGTTTTTCACACTGCTGCCCGTCTCGTAAAATCTTGCCGTCCAAAAGAATTACGTTGGACAAGCTAGGCTAATTTCAGGATAACCCAGGCTAACCAGATGACCGGTGTAAACTGTTAAACTTTCTAAATGTGAGCTTAATCACAGTGTCCCCTTGTGTGTGTGTGTGTGTGTGTGTGTGTGTGTGTGTGTGTGTGTGTGTGTGTGTGTGTAAAGCTGGAGTGGAGTGACAAATTTCAAATCCAAGGTTGACCGGTGACCTGTTAATAAACTTTCTAAAATGGGGGCTTAATGATGGCACCCAACAGGGTAAACCTCTATTGTTCAACTGGATTTGTTTTGCTGCGAATAATATGTTGACAACATCATTATTTGGTTATCTCCGAACATGATGAGATCACATTTTTGTTTTCACAGCTAATGACAAAAAGTCATGTTCCCCCTCTTACCCAGGGTGTTGTGTGTGTGTGTGCGTGCCCGCATTTGTACATGTAAATGGGGGGGGGGGGGTCATTTGAAGTAGCCCCTCCAGTCCTATGCTCTGTTTTTGTCTTTGTCCCTCATGAGTAACTTATCTAAACTGTCCCACCTGCGCCGCTTCGCATGGAGCCTCTCGTTTAGTATTCTGCCGCACACCTCCGAGAATCCATTAGCATAAAACCACACACATTCACATGCAGATGGCCGGCTCTTAGCCTCTTAGCCGCGCGGCTAATGGCACTAGCCACTTAATTAAGGTCACTTATGAATAAACTCTGTTAGCACGGGCGCTAATAAGTAGTGGCCAGACAATGGCGTGTGTGTGTGTGTGTGTGTGTGTGTGTGTGTGTGTGTGTGTTCATTTTGAAGCCTGACCTGCAGCCTCCATTAGCTGTTGGTTATTGAGTGGTTTGTTTTGCAGAGAGCCTCGTCAAGGTGGTTTCATTTTCGTACGGACGACGGTGTGTGCGTGTGGTCTCATCAGAGATAAAGTGTCGGCGGTTGTCTGTGAAGGGAAAGCCATGTGGAAAGCAAATATCCGCCACCTTCTAAATTTATAGCTCCTTGCTTGCCTCCCCTGTTTCCCTCGCACATTTGCTCCCATCCTCCCTTCCGGTGCCTCTCAGGTCGCCTCGTCGAGAAACAATTAGTTCCCCACTGCTCAAGCTCACTTTACGCCGATGTGTGTTTGTGCGTTGCACATGTGTCGTCCCACTGTTGAGCGCCACATTGCCCTCGCGGCATCGCCGCACAAGATGCTTCTGAAGTCCTCTGATGGTGAGAGGAAGTGTGGGTATCTAGCTCAGGGTATGTTGACATGATGGGAAATTGGCAGGATGTTATATATATTTGTTCGACTTTCATGATATGATATCACTGTAGCATGAACTTTTTAATCCTGATCATGTTCAGCTGCAAACTAATGATGCTAAAAAAAACTCGAATCAATTATGCTGCTATTGTATAGTACGGCAGCTTTAGCCATTGCTAGCAGCTAGCCACTAGGCCGCTGCCTGATCTAGGGTGGCAAGGATTACTTTTCAAAGGCAGTTTAATAGGTGAAAAGGACACCGCACATTTTAATGCTGACAGCCTGATGAAGTTGCAGTTCTTACTCATCAATTTATAGACCAACCAGATTTACTCGAATGTGCTATTTTAGCTGGTAAAATGGCTACTGTAGTTCAAGCGTCACTCCATCTCATAGCCCAGAATCTTACTTAAGCCGCTATGCCACTGAGCAGCACATTTGCGGGCGTTTGCCAAGGTAGCGAATGTTGCGCTCTCGTCAGGGTTCGTTCAATGTCGCACACCTTCGCCAAACGTTCGAAAGACGTTCGCCTGTACTTCTTTTGTCGCAAGGGAATTTTGAATGTGTTTAAAATTTCCTTGCGACAAGAACCCCCCCCCGCCCCCAACAAAAACTGACAGCCAATGTCTTGCGAACGTCTGGCGAAGCTCTGCGACCTTGAATGAACCCCGACAAACCCTGATGTGAACGCGCATTTTGCTGCCTTCGTCACCGGTCGCACATGTTCATCCCTCAGTGGGACAGTCGAATGTTTTTAGAAAAGAAAAGTTTTCTGCTATGCTAAATTTTAAATTTGTCCAAAAAAAAAAAAAAAACATTCATTCTGGAAAAATGAAATCCATTTGATCATTATTTAGTGACATCTGTAAATTTTCTATTTTCTCCTCTCTCTCTTCATTATTCTCTCATGAAGCAAAAATGTTTGTATTTTTATCCAAACACTCGATTATTTGACAGAATTTTCAGTAGGATATCCAAATAGCAATACATTCGATAGCTGCAGCCCTATGTACACTTAAATTTTAAGTCAAATGTATACATTGACTTCTGCGACCCATCCAAGTATCCAAATGTGTGGCTGATGTACCGTCTGTTGTATATTTAGAAAGAGACGGCCGATATTAGTGGCATGACTCTGACTCACTGCCCCCCAGGTGAACACAAGTAATTGTGTGCCCAGTGGGACACTAAGCAACAGCTGTTTCTTTCTCTTCCTGCACTCACGTCAACTTTTCACACACAAAGATGTCTTTCAATTTCCATGAGGCATCCGCCACAAGAACACAAGACCCGAGGACTCCGAAATGGGACACACTTTTCCCATTCCGTGGTTGCCAAAAAAAAAAAAAGCAAAATAGGAGTTGATGCTCCCTGAGCTGAAGGTTATCAAATGTGTTGACGTCTTGAGTAACATCACGCCGACCGGCAGATTTTTGTCCAAATGTGAAGGTGTAGTTGGACTGAAATTTCCGTTTCACCCTCCTAGTCCATTTCATCGATGTTCTTCCTCCTTCGGGATTTTGTGGAGATCAACCGTGTGGTCTCATCTCACCGCAACACAGCACACTGACACAACAATGTCATCCCTAAAAAGGCTCGCTGACAAAAACCTGAATGTTATGAGGGGATCGGTGAAATGGATGGATGGCAGGTTGGGGGGGGGGGTTGCTGTTGAAGGAGACCCTGAGAGGAGGATTGACAGGGAAAGCAGAAGATGCATGGAAGGATAAAAGATGGATTAAGGTTGTGCCACAGATTGGCAGGAGCGCTGCGCGTGCGACGCTTGCGTGCGCTTAATGTGCGGCGGCGGTAAGCTGGGAGATGCGCGACTTTATTTGTTGCAACAGCCTTGACGCTCCTCACGTCTCACCGGGAAAAAAGCCTTCATCACAAATGTATTTATCCCGTGCGCGTGTGTGTGTGTGTGTGTGTGTGTGTGTGTGTGTGTGTACGTGTGTGTGTTGTGAGAGAGAATCTAAAGCCCCTTACATGTGATAATGACAGCTGTAATGTCTGCTCTAGACTCAGCTCTCACACTCTAGCATGTTTGTGTATCTGACACACTTGAAAAGCTTGTTGTGTTCACGCGGCAACCTATCAGGGAGGGATAATCTTGTGTGTGTGTGTGTGTGTGTGTGTGTGTGTGTGTGTGTGTGTGTGTGTGTGTGTATACGTGTTGTTGAGAAAACTGTGCGTGATAAATGACAAGTGCTAGGGTTGAAATCTCCACTTGTCGTACTTTACTACCTTTTTCATATGTCCAGAAAACGCACACATACATACACTCACTGAAAGTATCAGTAACTTGGACCAGAGCGTATCACACGAACCTTGGGCAATGAACCACAGGCTCCTTCTCCGGCTCTGAAGATATTTTTGTAGACAGTGCCTCTTCGCCGTATCCTGATTTTCGTATCGACGCAAGGCATGCTCCACAAGTTGGCCATTTTAGCAGATCAGACTGCGCCCAGGGGCGGAGCCAAAACTTTTTCAGTGGGGTGACCATGGGAACACAATGACTACATTTACATGCAGTTAATATTTGAGTTAAGGTAGAAATTGCGTTTTGGAAACATTCCGAATGACCCGTTTACATGAATGAGTTTGTCCCGCATCTAAAATGCCGATGCAGGGACGTCGTGACGAGAATAGACGTCATCACAGGAATAAAGCAGTCTGTTCCCTCCTCGGTCCAAAAGTGTGATTTTCAGCCTCATCTCTGAGTTTCGACATATTTGTTTACCACTGCGTGTTTATTGCGCACCAGGCATACAGACTTATACACGCGTATACTGTATGTGTGTCTGTATAAAAAATCTTTTTCACCGTAGAGACAGAAAATAAGGTGAAAACGGCCCAGAGAAATCAATGTATTCAAATTTTGCTCGCTAGGGCAAGGATGATGCACTTCCAAATCCTGTGTTTTCAAAATCGTAATTCAATTGATTATATTTATTTTTGAAAAATTGCAAAAACACCCATGACACAAATGAGCTTTAACTACCCTTAAATTAGCTCTATAGATCCCCGTGAAGGCAATTTTATAATCCGATAACATATTTTCCTTAAAAAAATTGTCAAATTAAAAATTTTACAATTCAATACAATGCAATACAATACATTCTGATTTATATGGCGCCTTCACAACAGCTGTAACAAAGCGCTTTACAGAACAATTAACACAAAGTAAAATAATAAACACAACACATGACATAAACATTTTCCATAATACTTTATCCATTTTGAAAATCCATCCTTCCATATTCTTAATCTAACTAAGATAACAGGTTAGCACGCTAACCGCAAGAGCTATCAATGCCCAAAAAATGTGAATAAATCTGACACGTTCTCTTTCAGCGCACATAGTAAAGCTTTCTGCGAGACAAAATTTCACTCTGAAGTGTGATACACACTGATGCGTTCACCGTGAATTCCCTCTCGCCAGCCCTCGCTCTTCTTCCTTTTGACGGCTTCGTATCTTCCTCCCGATCAGGCGCAAAATGACATCATTAAATGGAGAGGGCACAGGAGGTCGACGCCATCCTCTGCTTGACCATCACCGTCAACGCCCTCCGGGAAAGATGAGTTTATCTTGCAGCTGATGGACAGGTATGTGTGTGTACACTATTTATTTGTGACAATGAAATATGTGTATGGAAGGCCTTTGTGTACCGGCAAGTGACAAAAAAAATTACTAATACTTTGATTGTTTGAGAACCAAGTTGTACATTCATCTTGCTACCCTATTTAGCTTTAGCTAGCGTCCTGTTTAGCTTTAGCTAGCTGTAGTACAGTTGTGTTTCAAAAATGGTCTATTGTGATTTACGTGGAAAATATTCATGCTCATGGTTATTATTGTTTGAATGTTTTGAAACACTTGTCCAGTGAGGTTTCATCCTTGGCCTACCCCTCGAGGCTAATTAGCAACACCCGTAGCCTGTTCAGTTCATTTGTTCGACGTAAGATACTTTATTGAGGATCATTGCGTTGCTTTATACCCAAGTGCTGCATTTTGTTGTTTGGCAGCATACAGCACAGGCGTTAAACATTTTTTTAAGGATAATGTTGAACTAATAGTTTTATTGTACGTTTGGAGCATCTGTTTAATTAATAGCTAACAGCTTGGGGTTCAAATATGACTCATTTTCTCGCATTGTTTTGTTTTTTTCGTGACGTTTCTTCAATTTTTTAATTGCCGATTATTTAAATATTGTTTTTTTTTTATTTTTTTTTTTTTAACACATCTAATTCATCCAGATTCATGAGCATCACATTTTGCAACCTAACCCACGGGTCATTGTTTTTGGCACATCAAAATTGAAATAGTCCTTTATTAACTGTACAGGTAATTTCCAACATTTAACATTTTAACATACCGAACTGTCATTCAACAGGATCTCCACGGATCTTTAAAATACTCTTTAATTGGATTTGCTTTTTGAATTAAGGCCTCAATTAGTATCCCTCAAAATGACTTGCTTTAATTGAAAATGACACAGACACAATCACAGATACTACAGTACTTTAGAACGAGAGAATGACGACCCCAAGTGGACTCTCGCGTGCATATATTTTGTTATTACATGCATGAAGCCGCCGGGAACATAGTGTAAACGTAGCCGTAGTGTTTTCACTTGACTTATTTCTACTGTGAAAAAATGTAACCATGCTACTATTGTTGCTATCCTTGACGATTGACAGTCAATGAGGCTTTTGTCACCGTGAGATGGAATTCTCTGGTGCGCGTCCGTTTTCGCTCATGTGTGTGCTGTTTGTACAGTTCCTTGTGTTTTTACAGTGTGTGTGTGTTACGCTTGGATGGCCGTCATAGGCTCATGCACTCGCTGTCATCCGTGATGGTGTGTACAGTATGTTTACACATGGACTGCAACTGTGTGTGTGTGTGTGTGTGTGTGTGTGTGTGTGTGTGTGTGTGTGTGTGTGTGTGTGTGTGTGTGCGCTCATCACGAGCCTGAAGTCTGGAGCCGTGCCCCAACCCGACACTCAAGCGGTGGGGTGGCCCGGCGTCCCACAGGGCCCGTGGCTCCGAGCCTGACCCGGAGAATGTTCCAGAGCTCTGAAGAAGCTCCATCCGTTTGTGAGTGCCTGCGTGTGTGCGTGCGTGTGTGTGTGTGTGTGTGTGTGTGTGTGTGTGTGTGTGTGTGTGTGTCACTGATTAGCAGACAAGCGGCTTAATGATGTACCCAGAGCAGATACTCAGCTGAGGAAGAGTAGGAGGAAGACTTGCATTCGGCTCTAACACTTTTAGGAATAGATTACTTCTTTATCGGACTATAAATCGCGTCAGAGTATAAATTGCACCAGTCCAAAAAAAATACCATGAAGAAGAAAAAAAACAACAATATATAAGTCACTCCAAAGTATAAGTCAGATTTTTGGGGGGAGATTTATTTTACAGCAAGCGAGACCCAGAACAGCAGAGCTCCTTAATCGTGAGTGCATTCGGAAATATGCTACGAGCGCACACTGCTTCATTTCGACTGTCGATATATAGCCACTGTCTGTTAAAATTGATGCTCCTTTCTTGAAGTTGGACGCCTCATTGAATTTCGTCCAGGTGGGCATTGGGCGTTGCGAATGGAAATGATTGCTGGTTGACGTGTCTGGTGCAGGGTTGTCCAAACTTTGAGCAAAGAGCGTCTGATTTGGTGAGTTAAAAACATACAGGAGTCATACAGCAAGGGGCAGCTATTCAAATACATTGGTACCTCTACTTACGAACGTCTCTTCATACGAAATTTTCAAGTTACGAAACATCTCAACAGGAAAATATTGCCTCTTGTTACGAAAGAAATTTCAAGATAAGAAAGGTAAAAATACAGTATGGGCTGATACTCGCAGCCCCGAGTTTCCTGAACGCAACATACTTATAGCTGCTCTGCCATTGGCTATTACCGAGCATCTTCCTGGCATCCCATTGGCTAAAAGGGACTTCTACCGTATGTGTCTATGAGTGTAGATTGATAGACAGATATGTGTCTATGCAGTGTCCACGTCATTCGCCCCTCGGGCCATGAGGCGTTCCAATAGTTTTATGTAAATGTGAATCACCCAGAAAAAGTGTTCACCAGTCCGGCCATCGCTCACTATGCTGATGTTTGCCTTGGATATTTTCGAATGATTGTTAAAAGCCGACAAAAGCAAACATCCATGGATCAGTTCTTTACAAAACGTCAGGCAAAAACCACTTCTGGGAGAGAACAAAAAAACGATGAGGGCGCAGTTCAAAGTTAAATGACCAACATTTTTATTCTTTATTCGTTTGTTTTTTTTGCATTATGCACAACTTTCATTTATTGTGCAATAATGTAATTGTAACATGTATTTGTTACATATTTTGATGCATTTTTATCCTTTGGGAAACATTTTTGTCTGAATTTTGGGGGGTTTGGAACGAATTAGGGCATTAACATGAAAAACGCGTCTCTACTTACAAAATGTTCTAATTATGAAATTTCTTCCGGAACCAATAAATTTCGTAAGTAGAGGTACCATTGTACTTTTAAGATGATAATATAAATTCATTCAGTGAATGGATTTCTACAGTGGTTCGGAGGGATTGTCACACGCTGTTATGACAACAACGTGTCTGAATGAATTACACTGACATCCACCAGGCGCATCCGCCGAGCGCAGAATCTGCCAGCCTGCGCATCGATCAAGTCCATCAACATCGCGTGACACCTCCCGCGCCAACACTTAGACCTGCTTCCGACGAGTCTAAATCCTCATCTAATTTTTGTCACTATATTGCCAAGAGGTATAATGCCTATCAAGTCCCAGCCACGGGAAACGAGACTTGCCCTGACACGAAAATGAAGACCGTGACAACTGTCTCAACGTCCCTTTATTTATGGACATGACTGCGGCATTATTTCACGTGTGAAAAGTTTCAGTTTAAATGTTCAATCAAAATGGTCTTTTGAACAAACTGAGATTTTGTGTGTCCAAGGTGTTATGTTTGATTGAAATTTATACCAAGAAAAGTTTGTGCTTTTGAAAAATATTCGATTCAGATTTTCATCAAAATTGCAAGACATCATCAGATTTTCGAATATCTGTAATTAGCGACGACTGACATGTAAGTACGAGTACTCGTCTCGGTTCACCCCCAATATCAACCGTCCCGATATAACGACAGATAACACCACGATCAAAGTGCACGTATGTAAACATGGCGACTTTCTTTCACTACGTGTTACCTCTTTATGTTGAAATCCTCCTGGGCACTCTAATCCACACGCGCCCCACTCTGCGTGTGTGCGGCTGTGCGTGTTGACATGTTTGTGCGCGTCCACCCGGCTTTGTATCGGCGACTACATGCGTGCTTGGCGCTTGTGTTTGTTGTGCCGTTCCCTCGCAGGGTCCCCACGGTGGCTGTTCCCCGCGCTCCAGACGCCTGCTCGGGCGATAGCATTGTCTGCGTGTCCAAAGACCTGCCGGCTGCCCTATTCCGCCACGTCTTTATCATGCTAATACAGCCAGAGACGGAAGCAGGGAGGCGGGAGAGAGGAACGATAGCTCCGCAAATAGAGGAGAGGTAATCTCTCCCCTCTTCTCTCTCTCTTTTCGTCGGCCTTCCTTTCTTTGCCCCCCCCAAACCCCCGCCACCGTCCTCCTCCTTCGCTGCCTTTCTTCTCGTGCCCGCACCCTCTTCATGTGCCGCTTCCTTATCTCGCCCTCACTTCTTTGATAATCCCTCTGAACATTGTCTTCATAATTACACACAACAATGATTCCCATCCTTGCTGGAGAAATGTGCGCGGAGAATATTTCATATTTCACCGAGAGAATTAATAACGTGGGCCTCGTATGTGGTTCTGTGCGTCCACGTGTGCGCGCGCGCACGCGTGTTGTTTTAACACGGCTGTTACATTATGCATGCTGACAGCCTGTCCTGTTCCCCTTTAAAGGCCCATCTTGTTTCCCCATTATATCTGCTTTCCCAGTTAATGGAGCTCTTTGTGTGCCGCTTCCCTTCATGAAGCCGCCGCTACGACACAAAAGGTCAGCGCCGCTACCACCTGACAAGCCGGCGCGGACGCCGCGGATCTCTCGTTCACCAGGGTGACGGTGGCCGCACGGGTGACTTGAATATTTGAGGACAAG